CATTTTGGATATAGATATTGATATGATATATATATTTTACCGTTCAACCGAATTTTGTGACCCAAAGCAACCTACTATATTCTCGGTATGTTCTATATAATATTTCCTTACACGACTCCTAACTTAAGTTTCTGAACGCTTCCTATAAACCTACACATACTGTTTCTTTATATTTTAAATTAGGTTACACAAACTGTGGAAAATTGCATTTGTCTGAATGTAACTAATTATGTACATAACAGTAAATGATAACAAAGATAATTATTATTTATCAATGTTACATAGACAAGTAGGAATTTGGGACACCTAGGTCGCAAAAAATGTCCCCCTTCGATACCTACCACTGTAATAACCACAAGTTGCTCTGGACCTATTAATTAAATGAAATATACATACACCAGGAATACTGGTAAATATATAAATTTGTGGACTGTATATTAAAAATAATAAATGGTTATATATATACACAATTACGTAACAGAAGGAAAATATATCTTAACATCACTCACCAATTTGACTGGAGATTAATGAGTATCATACTCAGAAAACCTCACTCTAACTAAATCTATGAAAATAATGCTGGCCAGAATTACACACAAATCTAGAGAGCTTATCTGAGGTTCCTGGAGCTGTCTTGTCCAGTCGTCTGATATCTCAAGTTATGCAGGAATGCACATCCACCAATTTCGCCTCCTATTTGAGATGTGTCAACACAATTTTAACCTCTAGAGCACGAAAAATTCTTCCCATTACACCAACGTTTGTACAAAATTCAAAACCAAGATGGCGAGTCTCGTCTGCGCAGACGCAGGCTTTCCGTTTTCTATGACATAAATATTATTAAATACAATATGGCCATCTATTTACATATAAATACTGAATTTATGGAAAATATATATACAGTATTTTCCACACAAACCTAATAAATAAATAAATTAATAAATAAAAAGGAACACCACATCTGGCAAACGTTGTGACTAAGCAGCATCAGGTACGTTCAAATCTACACGAGCAACATAGGTGGTGTGAGAATAGCTTTGCCCCGTGAGTAGCTGGATAACTAGAGGGTGCTATTTGTGGATGCTGAGAAAGAAGGCTGTTCTGGTGACTTGAGGGATTTTCCGGATGCTTAGACTAGGCAGTTTCAGGAAATGTACCGGAGTTTTTGTTTTGTTTTAATTAAAAGTGATTACATCAGTGTGCGGTTACCTTATGTTACGATAATTACAAAGTGGGAACAAAAGATAACTTGTTTCCATGTGACGGCGTTGAAACGTGTTAGTAGAGAATATGTTACTGGTTATTCTTCAGGAAAAAACTTGAAAAGGGTCTTTGTATTATTATTATTATTATTATTATTATTATTATTATTATTATTATTATTATTATTATTATTATTATTATCACGAGTCATATAATGCCTGGGGAATGGGAAGTAATCAGATTTGATCCGCGGAGGGCTCCTCCAAATCCCTTGACCAAAGGCTTGCTCATATGTTTCTCTTCGTATTCAGGTCAACCTGGGTCCCAAGTGACAGTAGCTTCACCTATACTGGAACTATACCTTAGAAGTTTCCGTAGCTCATGATCCCGTACTAGAAGACTTTATGACAGTCTCATTAACCTACAGAAGTCTCGCACCACAACCTGACAGATTTCAACATCTTGTACTCACCTTGTTGTGGTTGCAGGAGTCGAGTCACAGCTCCTGGCCCCTGGCTTCTAAACCCCATCGTGCGTGATGTGGTATGAAAGGGAAACTTTGTTTTTTTTTCCTAATGTGTTCATATAGAATAGGGTAACAGCACACTGCTAATGCGTCCATTTCTGCTGAAAATGGATCGTAGCTCGATCGGTAGCGCACTCAGTTCACACACTGAGGTCCGGAATTCGAATGCCTGGTACAGCTGGAAAATATTAGGACGTGTTTCCCTAAGACACCTGCTGTCTATATTCACCCATCAACATAAAATGGGTACCTGGGTGTTAGTCGACTGGTGTGGGTCGCATCCTGGGACAAAACTGACCTAATTTGCCCGAAATGCTCAGCATAAGTGGCTTTCTATATAGTAATATGTCATTGATGTTAGCTAGGACTGTATACCCTGTACATGTACTAGTAGAAATATAGATATTTTTATATTATTATTATTATTAAAAGGTAATTTCGTTCTGTGAGCCGAGTGCACTGCCAATGGCTTGTTGGTTGATTAATGGGGTTTAAAGCCTATCCACTAGACGAAGGTCATGAAGGATGCATGTCACCTATTCAAAACAAGTCAAAAATTATATAATACCTAAGCTAGGGTTTAATGTAAACTCTGAGCATATATAAACTCAAAAACATACACCTCACTGTGTATATATCCAGTCGATGGATTGTATATCAAAATTAAGTTTAATCTCTCATATTGCCACTGGATAACAATAAAACACCAAATTCTAAATAAAATAATAGGTCATATTTATTTATGTATTATAGTTTCCGAACGAAATCTTATCATATCTTAAGAAAACACTTTTACACCCGCTTACAATTTAAGGCTCCCTTTCAATGTACATACGTTTTCTACAAGAGACATGTACAAGATACGGTAAAGGATTAAGGACTAACTCTAGCAAATTATGATTCACCACGCAGTATTTTGGCAGAAATAAACTTAATTCTGCTAATTTTTCCTAGTTAGTTACTAACCCAAGGAGTATGGCTTATTTGCATTAGGATTCTTGGGTCCTTCCTCAGGATGCGAATTACAATAGTCCTGTGGAAAATACTGTATATATTTTCCAGAAATTCAGTATTTATATGTAAATATATGGCCATACTGTATTTAATAATATTTGTCATAGAAAACGGAAAGCCTGCGTCTGGGCAGAGGAGACTCGCCATCTTGGTTTTGAATTTTGTATTAGAAACGTTGGTGAATGGGGAAGAATTTTTCGTGCTATAGAGGTTAAAATTGTGCTGACACCTCTCAAATAGGAGGCGGAATTGGTGGATGTGCATTCCTGCATAACTTGAGATATCAGATGACTGGACAAGACAGCTCCAGGAACCTCAGATAAGCTCTCTAGATTTGTGTATAATTCTGGCCAGTGTTTTCATAAATTTAGTTAGTGAGGTTTTTCTGAGTATGATACAACTTAATATCCAGTCAAATTGGTGAGTGATATTAAGATATATTTTCCTTCTGTTATGTAATTGTGTTATATATATATATATATATATATATATATATATATATATATATATATATATATATATATATATATATATATATATATAATATATATATAATATATATATATATAATATATATATATATATATATATATATATATATATATATATATATATATTATATATATATATATATATTATATATATATATATATAAACCATTTATTATTTTTAATATACAGTCCACAAATTTATATATTTACCAGTATTCCTGGTGTATGTATATTTCATTTAATTAATAGGTCCAGAGCAACTTGTGGTTATGACAGTGGTAGGTATCGTAGGGGGACATTTTTGCGACCTAGGTGTCCCAAATTCCTACTTGTCTATGTAACATTGATAAATAATAATTATCTTTGTTATCATTTACTGTTATGTACATAATTAGTTACATTCAGATAAATGCAATTTTCCACAAGTTCATTAATTCCTAGGTACCTTATTCACTGCTTGGTGAACAGGGCCAGCAGGTGAGGATTTCATTCGGATTAAGATTTCGTTCGGATTTTTATCTCCGCAGGGTTAGCCACCCAGGATAACCCAAGAAAGTCAGTGCGTCATCGAGGACTGTCTGTCTTACTTCCATTGTGGTCCTCAATCTTGTCCCCCAGGATGTAACCCACATCAGTCGACTAACACCCAGGTACCTACTTGCTGCTAGGTGAACAGGACAACAGGTGTAAGGAAACGCGTCGAAATGTTTCTACCCCGCCGGAAATCGAACCCGGGCCCTCAGGGCCTGGCTGGGTGGCTGGGCCGAAGGGTTAACAACTCAGTCAGTATGGCCTAATCACATGGATGTGATTCACAACAGTCAACTAAATCCAAGGTATCTATTTAATGCTAGGCAATAGTGAACATGTTTCCTTACACCTGCTGTCCCTGTTCACCTAACAGTAAGTAGGTGCCTGGGTGTTAATCGACTGGTGTGAGTCGCATCCTGGGGGACAAGACTGAAGGACCCCAAATGTAAATAAAGATAGTTATAATTTTGTAGAATTACAGACAATATGTTGGGTAAAAGAACACAAGTGCAACTAATGCAACATTTATTGTGACGAAGTTTTGCTCTCCAAGAGTCGCTATCTTTATTTATTAAAAAGTTTCAGTTAGTAATAAACCTACCCAGCTGTTGCATATGTCTTTTACTCTTCATAATTATACATTAAGAACAAAAGCTAGCTTTGTTTCTTTGTCATATACCATCACGGGAACGGCTTGACAAAGCTCCTGGAGAGAGAAACGTTACCACAGTAAAATGTCGCATTAATTACACTTGTGTCCTTTTACCTAACGGAAATAAGATTTACAGTCCTCGATGACGTACCGACTTTCTTGGGTTATTCTGGGCGGCTAACCCTCCAGGTTAAAAATCCGAAAAATCTTATCTTAAAGAGACTTTGTCATATATCTCACCCCGTATGGGTTTCGAGCCCAAGTCCAGGTATACCTGTTACGAGACTTAACACTGTACTATTAACCTACCATAGCATAAATTTTTAGGGATATCTCAGTATTGCCATTTTTATTATATGTCTGTGTATATACACAATTATACACCCAGTGGCGTAAATTATATACAAAATTAAAATAAAGTTTAATGTAATGTAAAGAACGTTTATAACTTGAGCATTCGTGTTTAATGTATTTTTAAGTTTTGCGGCTATGAAAGACTTTCCAGGATTGAAATTTCTAAAAATGCTTCTTCGTAATATATTTGTATCCTAACTGTTTTTAAATATGCATAATTAGGGTCCTGTTGGTGCTCATATATAGGAAATGTGAGTTGTGTATAGGTGTTAGTGGAGTCATTCAGCAGCGCCATCTTGACCCTCCAGGATCACAGCCTCAGTACACTGCTGCTGCTGCTGCTGCTGCCGCCTTCACCTCTAGCAACATGCGTTTTCTCATCTGGAGTTTGTTTTTTGGTGTCATGGACTTGGCTAGTGACGAGCCATCTGCCGCCGCTGATATTCTGGGAGCAGGAGATATGGGTGAGCTAGGCCAGACAATGAAGAGCTACCTGCAGCCTGACGTAGGCACCTCCTGTGCCCTCATGTGCAATAAATACATGAACTTGGGAGACTCTGACACGGTGAGGAGTGAATTGTTCGTTCATTTTTTTTCATTGTATTCCTTTCAAAGTTCTTGATACTAAGAATTATAGTTGCTCTCCTGAATCATACCTGATTACCCCTCATTCCAGTTCCACTTACGTTCTAGTGGTCCCTTCAGTGAAGGTTCTTTGATGTTGGTGATAGGCTCTTGATCCAAGGAATTTGAAGAGTCCTACTCTTCCTTTGGTAGCATCAGATTGGTACCTATTTCCCCCAGGCGTGTATGTCCTCTATGGGCTTGGCGCTCCCATGAATAATAATTATAATACCCTTAGCTAAGGTTTGACGGGTACACGAGTGGGTGTGAACTGGACTTTTTTTTTTATTTATTTAAAAGCAACATATACATAAACCATAAAAAGAAAAAACACAAGCCGACAATTAGCAAATCAAAAAACCGTGGCAGACGATGTCAGTACACACAAAAAACAAAATACATTTTAACACATTGATATAACAAAATTCTACTGAAATAAACCCAACCAGTTTATGGAGAAAACATACCGACTTCCAAACAAACAGTCGGAGTCATTATAAAACATGTAGGAGTAAGTCCTATAATCATATATATATGTATTATATACACATGCATATACACACATACGTGTATGTGCACATGTGTTCGTACAGAACAGACTGGATTATACACGAAATAATACGCAAAATGACTTGTCACTAAAGAAACTAAATATATATTACATCCAATAATAGAACTATACCTAATTATTATTATTATTATAATCAAGGGGAAGCGCTAAACCCGGAGGATTATACAGCGCCTGGGGGGGGGATGTGGAAGGCATTCAGGCTTAATTAATTCGGGGAACTGGAGCACAGATCCAATTCCCTAAATCAAGAGCCCCTCACCAACATCAAGGAGAACTATACCTAAGACATTGGTTCCCACAAACACACCTACACACACAAAGTTAATGTTACCAATTAACATTTAATATATAATATGACCTTCCATACAAATAGGTTATATATGAACCCCATAAAATACTCATATATTCTCGTACATAGTTCATAATGTACTTCAATTATACGATAAAAAAAAAGACGTATGTCAAGGATAAAGCTATCATCAGATTCGAATATATAAAGCATATCCTCACATATACATATGAATATAACCCCTATATAAAATGGTTCTTATAACGATAAAAGAAATAAACAGAAAATCACATACTACTTTTAACTCTGTGGTTTTACAAAATTCACAAGGTCTGCATACCCCGGAGCCCCCGAAGGCTCCCTGCAAATAAACTTTACCCACATCAAACACCTTGCAAACCAGTCAACCTTCCTCATCAGGCATCCAATCACTCCAAGAGGACACACCACTGAAGAGACCAACCCCTTGCCTCCTCACCCCGTCACCAAGCAGAGTAAACGTTCAACAGTAAGTCCACGATATCCCTCCGGTTAACTAGTTACCCACCGTCCCCCATATAAATGTTTGTTCCTACACACTGTCCTATAAAAACACGCCGCCAACGCTTTTATCCTAATGTTTCCCTCCACCTCCCTCATCCCCCAAGAGACATACAAGTAATCAACTATTACGTATCTGATAGCCCTCCCCACCTCGTTGGGCACCCCTCCCATATCTAACATTAAAGCCCTAAGGGGTCATATCTGACCCCCCCCCCAATAAAAGGAAAACCCTCTTCAACCACAATGTTACCACCTCCAAAGCAGAACAAAAATATACTACATGGAAAGCAGTTTCAACTTCCCCACAAAAACCGCATGACGCCTCTCTCACAAAACCCATTTGTCTTAGCACCTCTTTCGATGCCAAAGTCCCCATAAGAAATCTATATACTAATTCCCTTACTCTTGCCTGTATTCTTAGTTTACTAAATTCCACCCATATCACTCGCCAATCATATGTGGGATACACTGCCATCCCCTGCAGTTTACCTGGAGTTTACCTGGAGAGAGTTTCGGGGGTCAACGCCCCCGCGGCCCGGTCTGTGACCAGGCCTCCTGGTGGATCAGCGCCTGATCAACCAGGCTGTTGCTGCTGGCTGCACGCAAACCAACGTACGAGCCACAGCCCGGCTGATCAGGAACTGACTTTAGGTGCTTGTCCAGTGCCAGCTTGAAGACTGCCAGGGGTCTGTTGGTAATCCCCCTTATGTGTGCTGGGAGGCAGTTGAACAGTCTCGGGCCCCTGACACTTATTGTATGGTCTCTTAACGTGCTAGTGACACCCATGCTTTTCATTGGGGGGATGGTGCATCGTCTCTGCCAAGTCTTTTGCTTTCGTAGTGAGTGATTTTCGTGTGCAAGTTCGGTACTAGTCCCTCTAGGATTTTCCAGGTGTATATAATCATGTATCTCTCCCTCCTGCGTTCCAGGGAATACAGGTTTAGAAACCTCAAGCGCTCCCAGTAATTGAGGTGTTTTATCTCCGTTATGCGCGCCGTGAAAGTTCTCTGTACATTTTCTAGGTCGGCAATTTCACCTGCCTTGAAAGGTGCTGTTAGAGTGCAGCAAATTCCAGCCTAGATAGAACAAGTGACCTGAAGAGTGTCATCATGGGCTTGGCCTCCCTAATTTTGAAGGTTCTCATTATCCCATCCTGTCATTTTTCTAGCAGATGCGATTGATACAATGTTATGGTCCTTGAAGGTGAGATCCTCCGACATAATCACTCCCAGGTCTTTGACGTTGGTGTTTTCGCTCTATTTTGTGGCCAGAATTTGTTTTGTACTCTGATGAAGATTTAATTTCCTCATGTTTACCATATCTGAGTAATTGAAATTTCTCATCGTTGAACTTCATATTGTTTTCTGCAGCCCACTGAAAGATTTGGTTGATGTCCGCCTGGAGCCTTGCAGTGTCTGCAATGGAAGACACTGTCATGCAGATTCGGGTGTCATCTGCAAAGGAAGACACGGTGCTGTGGCTGACATCCTTGTCTATGTCGGATATGAGGATGAGGAACAAGATGGGAGCTAGTACTGTGCCTTGTGGAACAGAGCTTTTCACTGTAGCTGCCTCGGACTTTACTCTGTTGACGACTACTCTCTGTGTTCTGTTAGTGAGGAAATTATAGATCCATCGACCGACTTTTCCTGTTATTCCTTTAGCACGCATTTTGTGCGCTATTAACGCCATGGTCACACTTGTCGAAGGCTTTTGCAAAGTCTGTATATATTACATCTGCATTCTTTTTGTCTTCTAGTGCATTTAGGACCTTGTCGTAGTGATCCAATAGTTGAGACAGACAGGAGCGACCTGTTCTAACCCATGTTGCCCTGGGTTGTGTAACTGATGGTTTCTAGATGGTGGGATCTTGCTTCTTAGGACCCTTTCAAAGATTTTTATGATATGGAATGTTAGTGCTATTGGTCTGTAGTTCTTTGCTGTTGCTTTACTGCCCCCTTTGTGGAGTGGGGCTATGTCTGTTGTTTTTAGTAACTGAGGGACGACCCCCGTGTCCATGCTCCCTCTCCATAGGATGGAAAAGGCTCGTGATAGGGGCTTCTTGCAGTTCTTGATGAACACAGAGTTCCATGAATCTGGCCCTGGGCAGAGTGCATGGGCATGTCATTTATCGCCTGTTCGAAGTCATTTGGCGTCAGGATAACATCGGATAGGCTTGTGTTAATCAAATTTTGTGGCCTCTCATAAAAATTCATTTTGATCTTCGACTCTCAGTCTGGTTAGCGGCTTGCTAAAAACTGAGTCATATTGGGACTTGAGTAGCTCACTCATTTCCTTGCTGTCATCTGTGTAGGACCCATCTTGTTTAAGTAGGGGCCCAATACTGGACGTTGTTCTCGATTTGATTTGGCATAGGAAAGAAATACTTTGGGTTTCTTTCGATTTCATTTATGGCTTTTAGTTCTTCCCGCGATTCCTGACTCTAAAGGATTCTTTTAGCTTAAGTTCGATGCTTGCTATTTCTCTGACCAGTGTCTCCCTACGCATTTCAGATATATTGACCTCTTTTAGCCGCTCTGTTATTCTTTTCCGTCGCCTGTAAAGGGAGCGCCTGTCTCTTCTATTTTACATCTACTCCTCCTTTTTCTTAGAGGAATAAGCCTTGTGCATACATCGAGTGCCACCGAGTTTAATCTGTTCTAGGCATAAGTTGGGGTCTGTGTTGCTTAGTATATCTTCCCAGCTTATATCGGTTAGACTTGGTTTACTTGGTCCCACTTTATGTTTTTTGTTATTGAAGTTGAATTTTGTGAATGCTCCCTCTGACTAGTCTCATTTTGTCGGTCTGGGGCTCCACGCATACATGTCTGAACCTCAATTATGTTGTGATCTGAGTATATTGTTTTTGATATGGTGACATTCTTATCAGATCATCATTGTTAGTGAAGATGAGGTCTAGTGTATTCTCCAGTCTAGTAGGCTCTATTATTTGCTGGTTTAAATTGAATTTTGTGCAGAGATTTAAAAGCTCGTGTGAGTGTGAGTTTTCATCAGAGCTGCCTCCTGGTGTTATTACTGCAACAATATTATTTGCTATATTCCTCCATTTAGGTGCCTTAAGTTGAAATCCCCCAGGAGCAAGATGTTGGGTGCAGGAGCTGGAAGATTTTCCAGACAGTGGTCAATTTTTAAACAGCTGTTCCTGGAATTGCTGGGATGTTTGCATCCGGAGGCTTGTAGACTACCACAATGACTAGGTTTTGGTTCTCGACCTTTACTGCTAAAACTTCCACTACAATCATTTGAGGCATTTAGCAGTTCTGTGCAAACAAGTGACTCTGCAATGTACAGGCCAACCCCCCCCTTTTGCCTGTTCACTCTGTCACATCTGTATAGGTTGTAACCTGGGATCCATATTTCGTTGTCCAAGTGATCCTTTATGTGGGTCTCAGTGAAAGCCGCGAACATTGCCTTTGTCCTCTGCAAGCAGTCCACGGATGAAAGGTATTTTGTTGTTTGTTGCTGGCTTTAGACCCTGTATATTTGCAAAGAAGAATGTTATCGGACTGGTGGTATT